AAGTATCTGAATTTAACTATTAGAAATATAATTAAAATTTTGAATTTAGAGCTATATCTTTAAAATATTAGCATATGGAAGTGGATATAAGGGGGTATTCTTCTTCTAAAACACATTTTACATTATTAATATAATTTTTATGAGGCTTTTCCAAGTTGCTAAGCTAATTTTATTCTCTAATTTAAAGATGACTAGTGTTCACAACTCAAAATATAAAGCTTTATTATAAATATTTTATTATAATAAAAATATTTTTAAGATTTAAATAACGATTGTAAATATAATTCTTACTAATTATGATTAGAAAGAAATCATGAATGTTTTTAAACTAAATTGTCTATTTCTTGAAAAACAATAATATAAAGCAGAAATAAATACGTATTTTCAAACAATTATACAATATATAACTCCCATTAACAATTATTTTATCTATCAAGAAGTAAAGAAACGTTGATTGTATCATTTCACATCTTCAGTTAACAAGTAGTAGAATACATAGAGAATACTATTTCTTCTCGCTGAATGTTTGCGAATGAGACGTTGAATTAACATATAAATCACACCACATCGAAAGGTAAACAAGTTTATAACTAAGTGACGTTCGTATTGCACTACTCCTGCTCCTACATTATTTTCCTACATTATTTTCGCTGTAGTCCTACATTATTTTCACTTTGTGGTCTTGTGGTCCATGCAAATAAAATAAATACACTATACAATATACGATTTGTCACTTATGGCTCCGGATACGCGCGTCCGTTTTTTTTTTCGAGATTCTCCGCAGTCACTCCAATGGAATCTCCTGCTTTACGACCTGCAACATCGGAGGATACTTTATGCACGGCGAAGTTGTAGAATTTTAATGTATTCCCGCAGCACATACTTCGCTCGTATCTTATTTACTTCGATATCCGCATAAAAAAGACAACTCACATAGGATAGGGAAATCGTTATTTACGCAGTGGGAAGCTGCGAATGGCCGCGCGGATCCACAATATTGGACATTAAATTTTTATTTCGCTTTAAATAGCGCATATAGGCAGCATATCCAATAGAATTCTTTTAATTTTTAGAATGAGAATTATTATCAAAAATTGACAAATGAATGAAATGTATTAGCTTTATCCATACATTTAAATAATTTCGAATTCATAATGTATACTTTATCAAATATCGTATTTTATCAAATTATTATGGAATATTTTTATGTAGAACTATGTAAAATGTAATTTAACTGTTTATGCGATTCATTAGGACATTATTTTGAAATTCCGCCTAAAAAAGTAATTGATATTACGAATTTAAATATCTAACGTTAAAATAAGATTTCATTAAAACATTTCTTCAACTATATAATTATCTATTATTTTATAATTTCTCTTTAATTATACAATAATCCATTATTTTATTTTATAATTATCTCTAATTATCTCTAGCTTCTATATATATTTGTGCTCGATGTCGAATTAATTAATTAAATTCCGAATATAAAACATCTGCTGTAATGCATTTTAATTCCTATTATTAATTATATTTTTCTTTAATTTCTTAATTTCAACAGACTAAAATAAAATTTTATTCTACAAAAGAACAAAATAGAAAAGAATTTTTTTTTTTAAATATAGAGAACAATTTTACACAATATATAGATTATAAATTGAATTTCATTTAGAATATATATTTAGAATATATATTCTCGTTGATTCTTCTGTTCATTTATCCTTCATAGTGCACTCGGAAAGAATTATAATATCGCAAAACATCAGCAATACAAGATACGTTCGATAGCGGTTTGCGGCGACTTATTCACTTTTACGATTTTGTCGAATTCACTTTACGAATGTCTCGTGCACGCAGGAATTCTACTTTCATGCAACTGCTATGTTAATTCGGTCAGTAGGTCTCAGCAGGAGGTGCGAGGAGGAACCGAAAGAACTGAAGGAACAGACTGGCAACAGCAGCGGAGGAGGAAAAGGAGGATCAAGAAGACACAGAGGAATCGTGTTAGTCACCTGAATGCAAGCCTCGAGGTAATCCCGCTCGGACATTTCCTGGTCCTTCGCAGGGGGAACTTTTCCCCGTCGGCGCAACTCTTGCTTGGCGTCGTTCAAGTCAAAGATTGCCACGGGATCCAGCCTGCCCTTGAGCACCAGGCCCGCCAAGTATTCAATGTAGTGCTGCCTGCGGGGGAAAAGTACCCAAGATTTTAGTCAGGCCCACGATATGCGGTTCCCCGCCTATGTTTACCTTAACCAGATCGTTCCTGTAATACTCCGGGTCGCGCCCGTACCAGTTCGCGGGCAGTTTCAGCCCGGCGCGTCGCACGCACATTTCGAGATCGTCCATGTTTAGCAAGGGCAGCGGTTCCAGCTGCGTCAAACGGATCTTTCGAACTAGATACTCGACGTAATGAATCCTGAGAGATACATGGAGGATCTCGTTATAACGATCGACTGGGAGGAGAAATAAGAAAATGGGATAGGAAAAGATAGTGGCTTCACTGCGAGATCGTTCGAAAAAAATGCCTGGAATCGCCGCAAGATTAGTAGGACCGATAAGTATTCCCAATAATATACTCGTGAATGAGGATGCGTTCAGGAATTCAGAGAACATATGTCTTGTTTTTTGTTGTTCACCAAATTAAACAAAGATAAAATGATACCTGGATGCATCTGAGAAAAATTTCTGAACGCAGCCTGAAATTCTAAAGCTGATTGACGAACGCGTCGCGGATTGTATGTACTATTTGGAATCTTCTCTATCAAGATTCAAGGTTTTGATTTCGAAGAATTACTGAAATAACTTTAATTGTACTACTAGTAAAACTATTTAGATACTAGTAAAACTATTTCTATAAATAATTTTTCAGTTATTTATGAAAGAAAGAAATACATATAATATTATAGTATTTACAATCTTAATTGAATTTTTCTGTCACAACTATTATTAGCAGCCTTTATTATT